TCGCTCAAAAACTCCAACCCCGACGAGATCGAAATCGACTTCGAGACGCTGAAGCCGTCGACGCTGCGCGAGCTCGAGCGCTACGTCACCTCGTGCCTGCGCAAGAAGAGGAAACCCCCAGGTAACGCCCAATGCCAAAGTTGGGGGTTTCCAGATGGGTTTTTTTCCTCTGTGGTTTTATTCCCCAGGGTTGGGGTTTTTTGGGGAGGTTTTTTTTTAAGGTTTTTGGGGGTTTTTTTGCCTCGTTAAGATGGCGGCGGGGTGGATTCAAAATGGCGGCCGCTGCCGGTCCGGTTCTGTTTGTGATAATTAAAGGTTTTAATGTAAAGGTTCAAGATTTTAAATCGTTAAATGCGAGTTTGTGACAGATCTGTTGAGTTTAGGGTGAACCAGTTGGGACAAATGAATGAGTTTAGAAGCAACCAGTGGAGACAAACCCATGGGTTTAGAACCAACCAGTTGAGTTTAGAGCCAACCAGTTGAGTTTGAGACCAACCAGTTGAGTTTGGGACCAACCAGTTGAGTTTAGAGCCAACCAGTTGGGTTTAGGCTGACCCAAGCGGTCGATCCCCCGCTAACGGCGCCGTTCCCGTTTCTCCTGGCAGAGAAGCTCGACGTCCTGGCCGGCTCCTCCAAGCTGAAGGGGAATTTGGGATGAACCAGTTGAGTTTAGAACCAACCAGTTGAGACAAACCAATGGGTTTAGAACCAACCAATTGACTTTAGAATGAACCAGTTGGGTTTGGGACCAACTATTTGAGTTTGGCAGCAAGCAGTTGGGACAAACCAATGAGTTTAGAACCAACCAGTTGGGTTTGGAACCAACCAGTTAAAACAAACCAATGGGTTTAGAACCATCCAGGTGAGTTTAGAACCAACGAGTTGAGTTTAGAACCAACGAGTTGAGACAAACCCAGGGGTTTAGAACCAACCAGTTGAGTTTAGGATGAACCAGTTGGGTTTAGAACCAACCAATTGACTTTAGAACCATCTGCTTGGGTTTAGAACCAACCAGTTGAGTTTAGAACCAACCAGTTGGGTTTAGGATGAACCAGTTGGGTTTAGAACCATCCAGTTGAGTTTAGAACCAATGAGTTTGTGACAAACCAATGAGTTTAGAGCCAACCAGTTGGGTTTAGAGCCAACCAGTTGAGTTTAGAACCAATGAGTTGAGACAAACCAATGAGTTTAGAGCCAACCAGTTGGGTTCAGAGCCAACCAGTTGGGTTTAGAGCCAACCAGTTGAGTTTAGAGCCAACCAGTTGGGTTCAGAGCCAACCAGTTGGGTTTAGAGCCAACCAGTTGAGTTCAGAGCCAACCAGTTGGGTTCAGAGCCAACCATTTGGGTTCAGGCTGACCCGAGCGGTCGATCCCCCGCTAACGGCGCCGTTCCCGTTTCTCCCGGCAGAGAAGCTCGACGTCCTGGCCGGCTCCTCCAAGCTCAAAGGTTTCTCGTCCTCGGAGTCGGAATCGAGCAGCGAGTCGAGCTCCTCCGACAGCGACGAGTCGGACTCAGGTTAGCGCCCCCCGCCTCTCCCGACCTTCTCCAGACAAATAAACTCGATTTCATTCCTGTCTCCGCCGTCCATTCTTCTTTGGGGAAGCCCTTTGCAATTTCCTGACCCCATTCCTTGATTTTTTAAATTTTTTTTTTTTTTTTCCCTGGATTTTTAAATTTTTATTTTACCCTGGAACGAGCGCCGTGGGAGGTTTTTGGTTGGATGGGGATTGGGGTTGTTTTGGTTTTTTTTTTGGGGGGGGGGAAAATGGGATTTACGCCTCGATGGAGCCGTCGGGAATGTTGTGTGGAGATGGAGGGAGCGGGATTTTATGGAAAAAAATGGGATTTTGTGGATGAAAAGATGGAGGGAATGGGATTTTGTGAAAAAAAATGGGATTTTGTGGATGAAAAGATAGAATGGGATTTTATGGAAAATGGGATTTTGTGGATGAAAAGATGGAATGGGGCTTTAAGGAAAAAATGGGATTTTATGGATAAAAAGATGGATGGAATGGGATTTTGTGGAGAAAATGGGGTTTTGTAAAGAAAAAAAAGGAGGGAACGGGATTTTATGGAAAAAATGGGGTTTTTTTAGAGAAAAAAGGTGGTGCAGATGGGATTTTATGGAAAAAATGTAATTTTATGGTGAAAAAAATAGGAATTTATGGAAAAAATGGGGTTCTATGGAGAAAAAAGGTGGAGCAGATAGGATTTTGTGGAGAAAAAATGGAGAGAATGGGAATTTATGGAAACAAAAATATGGTGGGAAAGAGATGATGAAAAAAAATGGGGTTTTATGGAGACAAAAACATGGAGGAAATGGAATTTTATGGAGAAAAATATGAAATAAATGGGATTTTGTGGTTAAAAAATTGGGAAAATGGGATTTTATGAAAAAAAAAAGATGGAAGATGTAAAATTTTATAGGAAAATGAAATTTTATGAAGAAAAAGTTGAGAGAATGGGATATTATGGACTAGAAATGTGGGAAAACAGGATTTTAAGTTGGGAAAAAATAGGGAAAATGGGATTTTAGGGATAAATCATGAAAGAAATGAGATTTTAGGGGTAAATCTTCTTTTATTTGATGGCACTGGGTGGATTTGGGATCTGGAGGTAAAAATGGATTTGGAATTCCGAGTCCCCGGCGTCGCTCCCTGCGCCTCCCTCGGGATAAAATCCGGAATTTTTCTGGTTATTATCCCAAATTTTCCTAATTCCCGCCTTTTCCTCGCGCCGTGGGTTTGGGGTTTGTGCCCATCCCAAAACCTGAGGTCGAGCCAAGCTTAACTCCAGGAAATGGGAAGGGTTTGGTGTTGGAAAATCCCAGGGAAATATTTGGGATTTAATTCTGTGGAGATGGAGCACAAATTAAAAAAAAAATTAAAAAAAAAAAAAACTAAAAATGTGTCCAAAAAAAGAGAAAAAAAAAATTCCCAAATGAAATGAAACAATCCCAGAAAAAAAAAAAAACAAAAAAAAAACAGGATTGGGGCAGATCTGATGGTGATTTCTGCTGATTTTCCAGGATAAATCCAGAATTAGGATTTTCCAGAACAATTTTTAAGGAGTTTTCTATAAGTTTTGGAGGTTTTTTGGTGGAGATTGAAAGATTTTGTTGTAATTTTTAAACCTAACTTAGGAATGGGAAAACCCAGTGATTTGGTGTGGAATTTTTCCTTGGATTTATTCTTTAAATCCTAATTTTATCAGGTTATTTTTCCTGATTTTTGCCTGATTTTCCATCAAATCCACCAAAAAAAACTGAATTGGGCTCATCCCAAATCCAGAAAAAATTGGTGGTTGGAAGCAGAAAAACCTGGAAAAGGCATTTTTTGGGATGAATTTCGCCTCAAAACACCAAATCCAGTTTTTTTTTTTTCCCAGAAAACCTCGATCTGCCTCAAATATTTTCCTCAAATCCTTTGATTTTTATGTTCTTTTTTCCAAGATTTCTCAACCTTGGAAGCTCCAATTCTTTCCTCTCTCCAAAACCTGAAAAATTTGGATCCATTGGATGTTTTAAAATAATGAAAGCGATAAAAAGACTCCAAATTTTTTTTTTTTTTCCCGTGGAATTTTACCCCAAAATTCAGGAATTTGGATCCGTCTGTCGGCGTTTCGCTGTTTGGGTGGGGAATCAAATCAGAATTTTGGGGAAAATTTGGGAAAAATCCCATAAATCCACGCTGGATTTGATTTTTCCACCCCAAAATCACCTGGAAGTGAATTTTCCATCAATCCTGGATTTTGTCCCCGTGGATTTGGGGCTGAAGGTTCATCCATGGCTTGCCTTGGGATCTCCAAAATTCGGGATGATCCTTCTGGGAACGCGATTCCGGCCGGGATCCGGCAACCGGGGAGGAAATTTGGGATCGGCCTTGGGTTGGGATCTCTGGAATCTCCTTCTGGAGCGGAAAATTCCAACCAGGACCCAAAATTGGTGCTGGAATTCGGGATCATCCTTGGGTTGAAATCCTTGGAATCTCCTTGCGGAGCAGAAAATTCCAGCTGGGAGCCGAAATCAGTGACGGAGCTCGGGACCATCCTTGGGTTGGGATCTCTGGAATCTCCTTCTGGACCACGAAATTCCAACCAGGACCCAAAATTGGTGATGGAATTCGGGATCATCCTTGAGCTGGGATCTCTGGAATCTCCTGGAACTCGCGGTTCCGACTGGGACCCAAAATCGGTGACTGAGTTTGGGATCATCCTTGGGTTAAAATCCTTGGAATCTCCTTCTGGATGAGAGAATTCCAACTGGGAGCCGAAATCAATGATGGAATTTGGGATCATCCTTGGCTTTGGATTTCCAGGATCTCCAGGTGATCCCCGTGGAGCTTCGCGATTCCGACCGGATCCCAAAATCGGTGCCTGAGTTTGGGATCGTCCTTGGGTTGGGATCTCCAAAATCCAGGATGATCCTTCTGGACTGGAAAATTCCACCTTGGATACAACAGTTGGTGATGAAGGTTGGGATCATCTTTGGGATCTCCAAAATCCAGGATGATCCTTCTGGGGACGCGATTCCGACGGGGACCCAAAATCAGTGACAGAATTTGGGATCATCCTTGAGTTGGGATCTCTTGGACCAAAAAATTCTGACTGGGACCCAACAATCGGCGACGGAATTTGGGATCGTCCTTGGGTTAAAATCCTTGGAATCTCCTGGATGTCCAGATTCCAACTGGGATCAACAGTTGACAGTGAAGGTTGGGATCATCCTTGGGTTGGGATCTCCAAAATCCTGGATGATCCTTCTGGACCTCACGATTCCGACTGGGACCCAAAATCAGTGATGGAATTTGGGATCATCCTTGAGTAGTTGGGATCTCTGGAATCTTCTTTTGGACCTCACGATTCCAACTGGGAGCCAACAGCTGGGAATGGAGGTTGGGATCGCTCTTGGGATCTCCAGAATCCAGGATGATCCTTCTGGACCTCTTGTTTCCGACTGGGATCCAACAGCTGGGAATAAAGGTTGGAATCGCCCTTGGGATCTCCAAAATCCAGGAGTTTTCCTCTGGGCCTCTTGATTCCGACCAGGAGCCAACACTGGCAGAAGAATTTGGGATCATCCTTGGGTTGGAATCCTTGGAATCTCATTTTGGACTTTGTGATTCCGACCGGGACCCGACACCAGCACTGGATTTTGCCCAGGTCCTGCCTCTGGAGCAGCGACATTCCCAGAATTCCTGGCCCTGTTGAATCCATGGATTTTCTTGGCCATTGGTTTTTTGTTCAACAATTCTTCATTTTTTTTGGCGGCGAAATCCCCGATCCCCAATCCCAGAAATCCCTGGGGAATTCCAGCCCCATCCCTGGGGAATTCCAGCCCCGTTCCCCATCGATGCCGTCGGGTTCGTCCGGAGCCGTTCCCAAATTAATTTTTTTTTCCTTTTCCCCTTTTTTTTTTTTTGGCAGAAATGGCGCCAAAATTGAAGAAAAAAGGGCACTCGGGGCGGGAGCAGAAAAAGGTAGGAATGGGATTGGGATTGGGATTGGATGGGATCTGCAGATTGGGGTTGGATTCATTAATTAGATTGGGATTGGATCCATTAGTTGGGTTGGGATTGGATTGGAGTTGGATTCATTAATTGGGTTGGGAAGGGATCCCTGGATTGGGATTGGATCCGTTAATTGGTTTGGGATTGGATCCATTAATTGAGATTGGATCCATTAATTGGTTTGGGATTGGGTCCATTAATTGAGATTGGATCCATTAATTGGTTTGGGATTGGATCCATTAATTGAGATTGGATCCATTAATGGGGTTTGGGATGGGATTAATTAATTGGATTGGGAAGGGATCCATTAATTGAGATTGGCATGGGATTGGTCATTTAGATGACCCAGGAGATAACCTTGGTGTCCAAAACCACATTCTGATGACCCAAGAGACCATTTTGGTAACCCAGGATATGATTTTGGTGTCCAAAACCACATTCTGATGACCAGGGAGGCCATTTTGATGACCAAAACACCAATTTTGGTGCCCCACAAGAACACTTTGATGACCCCAGGAGCGTTTTGGTGACCAAAAAACCATTTAGAAGACCTAGGAGAGGATTTGGGTGACACCAGGAGGGTTTGAGTAACCAAAAAGCCATTTAGAAGACCCCAGGAGGTAATTTTGGTGTCCAAAACCATATTTTGATGACTAAAGAGGCCATTTTGGTGACCAAAAATCCATTTAATATGACCTAGGAGGTCATTTTGGTGCCCAAAACCACATTTTGATGACCAGGGAGGCCATTTTGATGACCAAAACACCAATTCTGCTGCCCCACAAGAACATTTTGATGACCCCAGGAGCATTCAGGTGACCAAAAAGCCATTTAGAGGACCCCGAGAGGCCATTTTGGTGTCCAAAACCGCATTTAGAGGACCAAAGAGGCCATTTTGACTACCAGAACACCAATTTTGGTGATGCTCAAGATGACCCTAGAAGCGTTCAGGTGACTAAAAAGCCATTTAGAAGACCCCAAGAGACCATTTTGGTGACCAAAAAGCCATTTAGATAACCCAGGAGATCATTTTGGTGCCCAAAACCACATTTTGATGACCAAAGACACCATTTTGCTACCAAATCACCAATTCCACGCTGACCCTAAACTCTCATTTCCCTACCCCAACCCCCCCCCAAATATTTTTTTTTTTTTTACCACCCCACTTTTCTAACTCCTCCCTCTCCTCCAGCACCACCACCACCACCACCAGCCGGCGCCGGCGCCGCCGCAGCCCCCTCCGGCGCCGCCGCAGCCCGTCCCGGCAGCGCTGCAGCCGCCGCAGCCGCCGCCCGTCCCGCAGCCCGCCGCGCCCCTCAAGGCGTCGCCGCCGCCGCCGCCGCCCTTCGTCCCCGCCCAGGTGCCCGTCCTGGAGCACCCCCTGCCGGGGACCATGTTCGACACCATGGCCCATTTCGGCCAACCCATGCTGCACCTGCCCCAGCCCGAGCTGCCCCCGCCCCACCTGCCCCCGGCGCCCGAGCACAGCACCCCCCCCCACCTCAACCAGCACGTGGTGTCTCCTCCAGGTGAGCCGCGACGGGGCCCGGAGTCCCGGGGGGGTGGGTGGGGTGGCCCAAAATTTCAGGGCAATGGAGATGGTGGTGGGTGGGGTTGGTGGAGGGTTTTGGGTCTTGATGGCCACCAGGGTCTTTTTGGGATTGGTGGAGAGTCTTGGGTATCGGTCATCGTGGTTGTGTTGGAATGGCCCAAAATCGCAGAGGATGAGGATGGTGGTGGTTGATGAAGGGTCTTGGGTCTTGGTCATGTTGGGGTGTTCCAAAATCCCAGAGGATGAGGGTGGTGGTGGGTGGGGTTGGTGGAGGGTCTTGGATCTTGGGTCTTGATGCTCACCATGGTCTTTTTGGGAACGATGGAGGGCCTTGGGTCTTGGTCATCATGGGCTTGTTGGGATATCCCAAAATCCCAGAGGATGAGGATGGTGGTGGATGGGGTTGATGGAGGGTCTTGGGTCTTGGGTCTTGGTTATCGTGGTTGTGTTGGGATGTCCCAAAATCCCAGAGGCTGAGGATGGTGGTGGTCGATGAAGGGTCTTGGGTCTTGTTCATTGTGGTCGTGTTGGGATGTCCCAAAATCCCAGGGGATGAGGATGGTTCCAGGGAAACCATCCAGGTTTCACCACCTCAAATCCTTCCTGGGACATCCCAGAGAGAGATGATGATACTGGGTGGGATTGGAGGGTGATGGCTGATCCAGAGTTCTCCTGGTTTCACCACCCTGTCCTTCCTGGGACATCCTGGAGGGAGAGGACAATTTTGGGTGGGATTGGAGGTGGATGAACCATCCCATGGAAGTTCTCCTGGTCCTTCCTGGGATATCCCAGAGAGAGATGATGACCTTGGAGAGTGACAAGTCATCCAGGGAACTTCTCCTGGTTTCCACACCATGTTCTTCCTGGGATATCTCAGAGGGAGATGATGATAATCGGTGGGAGTGGAGGGTGATGAACCCATGGAAATTCTCCTGGTCTCACCACTGTGTCCTTCCTGGGACACTCCAGAGGGCGAGGGCAGTTTTGGGTGGGGTTGGAGGTGGATGAGCCATCCCATGGAAGTTCTCCTGGTCCTTCCTGGCACATCCCAGAGGGCGAGGACGGTTTTGGGTGGGACTGGAGGGTGTTGGCCCCATGCCCTGGACTCTCTCCTGACCTTTCCCCCGTGGTTTTCCTCCTCAGCTTTGCACAACGCTCTGCCTCAGCAGCCCTCGAGGCCCAGCAACCGGGCGGCGGCGCTGCCCCCGAAGCCGCCGCGGCCTCCGGCCGTGTCCCCGGCGCTGCCTCCGCCGCCGCAGCCGCCGCCGCAGCCGCTGCTCCCGCAGCCTCCGCTGCCGCAGCCGCCGCAGGTGCTGCTGGAGGACGAGGAGCCGCCAGCGCCGCCGGTGCCGCCGCCGGTGCCGCCGCCGCCGCACCACGGCCTCCCCCTGAGCACCAGCCAGATGCAGCTGTACCTGCAGCAGCTGCAGAAAGTGCAGCCGCAGACTCCGCTTCTCCCTTCAGTGAAGGTCCAGTCGCAGCCGGCGCCGCAGCCGCAGCCGCCGCCGCCTCCCCCGGCGCTGCCGCCGCCGCCGGCGCATCCCGCGGTGCAGCCGCTGCAGCCGCCGCCGCGCCCGCTGCACCTGCAGCCCCTGCCCTTCCCGTCGCACCTGGCGCAGCCGCCGGCGCCGCCGCCGCCGCAGCAGCAGCAGCAGCCGCAGCAACCGCAGCAGCAACCGCAGCAGCCGCAGGCGGCGCCGCCGCAGCCGCCGCAGCCGCAGGCGGCGCCGGCCAAAGCGCAGCAGGTCATCCAGCACCACCCGTCACCGCGGCACCACAAAGCGGATCCCTACGGCACCGGTGAGCGGCCGCCGCCACCGCTGCACCCGCGGACGGGACAGGGCGGGGATGGAGCCGCTCCGAGCTCTGGGAATTCGGGAGGGGTCGCCAGTTTTGGGGGGCTGGAGAGTGGAGGATCTGCAGGATTTCCAGTTTTTGGGGGTCTGGAGTAGTGGAGGATCTTTGGGATCTCCAGTTTGGGGGGCTGGAGTAGAGGAGGATCTTTGGGATCTCCAGTTTTGGGGGGCTGGAGTAGAGGAGGATCTTTGGGATCTCCAGTTTTGGGGGGCTGGAGTAGAGGAGGATGTTTGGGATCTCCAGTTTTTGGGGTTGGAGAATGGAGGATCTTCTGGATCTCCAGTCTTTGCGGGGCTGGAGTAGAGAAGGATCTGCAGGATCTTTGGGATCTCCAGTTTGTGGAAGTCTGGAGTAGCGGACAATCTTTGGGATCTCCGGTTTTGGGGGTCTGGAGAATGGAGGATCTCTAGGATCTTTGGGATCTCCAGTTTTTGGAAGTCTGGAGAATGGAGGATCTCGAGGATCTCCAGTTTTGGGGGTCTGGAGTACTGGAGGATCTTTGGGTTCCCCCATTTTTGGGGCGCTGGAGTAGAGGAGGATCTGCAGGATCTTTGGGTTCTCCAGTTTTTGGGGGTCTGGACTAGTGGAGGATCTGTAGGTTCTCCAGTTTTTGAGGATCTTTGGGATCTTCGCTTTTTGTGGGTCTTGAGTTATTCAGGATCTGCAGTTTTGGGGTTCTTGAGTTATTGAGGATCTCAAGCCAATAAAAACCTGTCCTTTGAGGAAACCCCAATGTCCCTCAAGGCCATCCCGGGATTCTCTGGGGCCATCCTGGGGTTTTTTTGGGGCCACCTCAGGATCCCTTGGGGACATCCTGGGATCCCTTTGGGGCCATCTCGGGATCCCTTGTGGCCATCCTGGTGTCCTTTGAGGAAGCCCCAGCGTCCCTCAAGGCCATCCTGGGGTTTTTTGGGGCCATCTTGGGGTTTTTTGGGGTTGGGCTGCTGTTTTTCGGTGCCGTGTCACGGTGTGGGTGTCGCGGTGTTGGTGTCATGGTGACAGTGATGGTGTCATGGTGACAGTGATGCTGTCATGGTAACAGTGTCGGTGTCGTGGTGACAGTGATGGTGTCACAGTGACGGTGTTGGTGTGACAGTGTCGGTGTCACGGTGACAGTGTTGGTGTCACAGTGACACGGTGGCGCAGTGACAGTGATGGTGTCACGGTGACAGTGTTGGTGTGATGGCGTCACAATGACAGTGACGGTGTCACAGTGATGGTGTCGCGGTGTCGGCGTCGCGGTGCTGGTGTTGCGGTGCCGGGGTCACAGCAACAGTGACAGTGTCGGTGTCGCGGTGTTGGTGTCACAGTGACAGTGACGGTGTCGCGGTGACGGTGTCGCAGTGACAGTGTTGGTGTCACGGTGACTGTGTCGGTGTCACGGTGACACTGATGGTGTCTCAGCATCGCTGTCGCGGTGTCGGTGTCGCGGTGTCGGTGTCATGGTGTCGGTGTCACAGTGACAGTGCCGGTGTTGCGGTGTCGGTGTCGTGGTGTCGGTGTCACGGTGCCGGTGTCACGGTGTCGATGTCCCAGTGACAGTGTTGGTGTCACAGTGACGGTGTTGCGGTGCCGGTGTCGCGGTGCCGGTGCCGACGCTGACTGACTGGTGCCGACGCTGACTGACCGGTGCCCACCTGTTGCAGGTCACCTGCGGGAAGCCCCTTCCCCCCTCATGATGCCTTCCCCACAGATGGCGCCGTTCCAGGGCCTCGTGCCTCAGTCCCCCCCTCAGCAAAACATCCAGCCAAAAAAACAGGTGACACAACGGGAGCTTGGGAGAGGTGACAAAACTGAAATGGGGGTTGGGGACAGGTGACACAACGGGAGCTTGGGAGAGGTGACAAAACTGAAATGGGGGTTGGGGACAGGTGACACAACGGGAGCTTGGGAGAGGTGACAAAACTGAAATGGGGGTTGGGGACAGGTGACACAACGGGAGCTTGGGAGAGGTGACAAAACTGAAATGGGGGTTGGGGACAGGTGACACAACGGGAGCTTGGGAGAGGTGACAAAATAAAAATGGGAGTTTGGGGTCAGGTGACAAAACCAAAAATGGGAGTTTGGGGTCAGGTGACAAAATCAAAAATGGGAGCTTGGGGACAGGTGTCAAAACTTAAAAAAATGAGAGCTTGGGGCAGGTGACAAAATGAAAAATGGGAGTTTGGGGACAGGTGAAAAAACCAAAAATGGGAGTTTGGGGACAGGTGAAAAAATCAAAAATGGGGATTTTGGTGAAAAAACAGGAGTTTGGGATCAGGTGAAAAAAAATGGAAAATGAGATTTTGGGGATCAGGTGATAAAAGGGGGTTTGGTGATTTTGGGATCAGGTGAAAAAGGATCTGGGAGCCAGGGGAGGATCAGGAGCGGGGTCAGGATCAGGGATTTGGGTCAGTATTATGGGATGGATCCCGATCCCAGATTGCCGGGTAGGAATTGTGAGCGGGGTCGGGATCAGGATTGGGATCAGGATTTGGGATCGGGATCAGGATCAGGATTGGGGTCGGGATCAGGATCGGGATTGGGATCAGGATTGGGATGAGGATTGGGGTTGGGATCAGGATCAGGATTGGGATTGGGATCAGGATCAGGATTGGGATCGGGATCGGGATTGGGATCAGGACTGGGATCAGGGTCGGGATTGGGATCGGGATCAGGATCGGGGTCGGGATTGGGATTGGGATCAGGACTGGGATCAGGATCGGGGTCGGGATTGGGATTGGGATCAGGATCGGGATCAGGATTGGGATCAGGATCAGGATTAGGGTCGGGATCAGGATTGGGGTTGGGATCAGGATCAGCATTGGGATCAGGGTTGGGATCAGGATTGGGATCGGGATCAGGATTGGGATCAGGATTGGGGTTGGGATCAGGATCGGGATCAGGACTGGGATTTTGGGGCCAATCTTGATCCCGAATTTCCATGGCAGGAATTGGGAGCAGTGTCAGGATTGGGGTTTGGGGTCATTATTATGGGATGGATCCCGATCCCAGATTCCCACAGGAATTGTGAGCAGGGTCAGGGTCAGGTTTGGGGTTGGAGTTTTGGGATTTGGGGATTTTAGGGTGGATCCTGATCCCGAATTTTCATGGCAGGAATTGAGAGCAGGGTCAGGGTCAGGGAATTGGGAGGGTATTATGGGATGGATCCTGATCCCCAGATCCCCACAGGAATTGTGAGCAGGGTCAGGATTGGGATCAGGATCAGGGATTGGGATTGGGATTGGGATTGGGGTGGGTATTATGGGATGGATCCTGATCCCAGATTCCTGCAGGAGCTGAGAGCAGGGTCAGGGTCAGGGATTGGGATCAGGATTTGGGAGGGTATTATGGGATGGATGCTGATGCCAGTCTCCCCAGGAGCTGAGAGCAGCCTCGGTGTCAGGATTGGGATTTGGGAGGGTATTATGGGATGGATCCTGATGCCAGATTCCTGCAGGAGCTGAGAGCAGCCTCGGTGTCAGGATTGGGATTTGGGAGGGTATTATGGGATGGATCCTGATGCCAGATTCCTGCAGGAGCTGAGAGCAGGGTCAGGGTCAGGATTGGGATTTGGGAGGGTATTATGGGATGGATGCTGATCCCAGATTCCTGCAGGAGCTGAGAGCAGGGTCAGGATCAGGATCAGGGATTTGGGAGGGTATTATGGGATGGATGCTGATGCCAGTCTCCCTGCAGGAGCTGAGAGCAGCCTCGGTGTTGGGATCAGGGAATTTGGGAGGGTATTATGGGATGGATGCTGATCCCAGATTCCTGCAGGAGCTGAGAGCAGCCTCGGTGGTGCAGTCGCAGCCGCTGGGCGCGGCCAAGGAGGAGAAGCTGCACTCGCCCGTGATCCGCAGCGAGACCTT